TGATAGGAATACCTACGTAATTTCTCTGGCATTCTCGTAGTAATAGCATTCAGTAGCATTGTGCATGTCGGCAAAGAGTATGCCCTTGATGAGCGTGTCCAGCTCATCGAATTTGGCCAGCTTCATGTTGACCTGATCTCGAAAGTCCTTCTCAAACTTAAACGCACCGCCGCCGGTGGCACAGACCGTGGTCACCAGCTCGGCCATGCCCTTCTGCTTGGCCAGCGACAGAAAGTTGCCCATGTCTGTGGTCTGAAAGCGGATGAAATGGAGAGAACCTCGTCGCTTTCGAATCTCCACATTGTCCATCTACAATGAGAAATTCACAATTCATTCCAGCTCAATTCCGTTCTATATATGTACATAAATCAATGGCCCCTGCTCAGGTGCAAAGSTTAATCAGAGGCKAGATTTCGCTAGGCCAGCTCCTTATTACAATTATATAAGCGCACGTGAACAGCCAAAGTTTACGAGACAGGGAATTCTTCGGCGACAAGCGTTGAGCGTAATTAGCGACGTAAATAAGCCGATAACCATTTAAAATATAGAAAACGCACAACAGGAAGCCAAAAGTCAATGAATGCTCTACGTAAAGTAAACTTGTCGTCAACGACTGCGGCGTGCATACAATTCAAGTTCCGGACAGTGCTGTTCATTTGGCCTTTTTACAGCTAACTCGAATTCAAGACTTCTAGTGGTAAACTTTTTTTTGCTTTTTTTTTAAACCTATTCAGATGTAAGCAAAGATTACTTACTAACTTGCTTAAAAAGCAAGTTGTAAATAAAGATATATCTATTTATGCAGTCAACTTAATATACTATATAATTTCCTTGCCATATAAAAAAGCTAATTCTAACTATAATATAATATGATTCTGCATATTTTTTATTACAGAATTAGAATATTTATAACTAAAACAAATCCATATCTAATTGAGAAAAAGTTATAATTCAGATATCTATATTTTTAAAGGCATTGGCAACAGTTTCTAAAGTTGTTAGTGTTACTAGATAATTCTTTCAATATGTATATATATATATATATACTCTAATTTCCTATCTGAAATGTACGCCCGGTTCACGGTCAATTCGTGCCATTGACGTGTCTGGCGAAGCTTCACTGTCATAGATCGTTGTCGAATACTAGAAATTAGCAGGCGAATCATTCGACCTGGCTCGAAACCCGGTGATCTCTGCCGCTTGCACGCGCAATTCACGCCAGATAATGCATAACGCTCAAAGCTAATGCAATTTTGTTTCCATTTTCGGTACGTAATCGCCATTGATTGAGAGGAGAGAAATTGAAATACTTAGTAAATTTGTATATAAATCAAATAATGCGTTGCAAAACAAATCAAAATATTGTCTCAATACAACTATCTCATATGTAGACATGAAATGTAAACATATATAAACAACATAGATAAACTTGTCTATAGAAAATCGAATTTAATTGACAGCTTACCTGCAAGTGCGTGTCGCGATGTCCCGTTTTGCCATATGCCGAGTTTTTGGTTAGATACCTTCGGATATTACGTAAAATACCCGCTTCGCAATCCTGCTCATCSGGCGTTATATCCTTTGGCTCGAAGTATACCAATTTTGTGAGCGTTCCGCCAATGTCCATGCCAAACCATGGCATTGCTAAAACAGTTTAACACAATGGATAA